TTTATCGCTTCATGTTGTATTTGTTTTACAGCTTGCATATTATGTTTGTCCTTCTCAAGTCATGTTTCCATGCTAATTCCACAAAAGAGTTGTACTTTCTCTTCTGGTACTCAGAGCATCTCCAACAGCCGTCCAATGTGTGGCGCCCAAAAAACGGGTTTACAGCGCGCACTTAATTTTTTTAGGGCGCTAGAAGACGTTTGCTCCAACAAGCGCTGTAAAATATGCTGCGCGCGCGAGTCCAGCGGTCCCAAGCCAAGCGGTCCCATCTGCAGCAGTCCAGAGTTTGCAGCACACGCGACCGGACGCACTAAATATGCTGCGCGCGCTGCATTAGTTATAGCGCGCGAGCGCTTTTTATGCGGCTGCTGGAGACTCCAAATCGGACCCGCGCGCGCTAAAAGCAACTTTTATACCGCGCGTCGCTCATATAGCGCTTCTGTTGGAGATGCTCTCATGTTGTCATTTTTTCAGCTTATTTGAGTCCAACAGAAACAAGCTGATTGCCAAGTTCATTATCTATTAATATGTTGTACCATTGAGCCAAACCCAGATAGGCAATAAATGATTTAGGCCCAAAAATTGCATAGGAAGAAACTCCTATTTGATCATTATAGACGCAAATATTATTCAGACTTCATAAACAACTGAATTTGTTGATCATTCAGCCGCTATACTTTAGTTTTGAGTGCACAAGATAACAACCTACTCACCATTTTCAAAATGATCTCATTCAAATTTGGTGGACTCTACAAAAATATTAACTAAACATCCCGCAACAACGTGCAGGGTTTCATCTAGTAATAAATAAACTACACCTTTGTCCAATCTACACCCTTGGGTGATGAAGAGAGAGCTACTTTGCTGCTCAAAGGAAAGCAAGCCGCAAGGATTGATGATAAACAAACAGAAAAGAATAACAAGGGGCTAATCAATTAAGACGTCTTTAGCAGCACATCATCCAATGGCGCCAATACCAAACAATTGATGTCACCAAAGTCGTCACTGCCATGCATCTGCAATGGCACCAACAACAACACATCAGATCAAGTCAACAGCACTTCAACACACCACACATATAGGACGCCAAAATGAAATAGGTCAACAAATCGCATGCAACAGTTTCATATGTCTTTATCATATTGCTCTTAATCCCTCGATAGTTCATTGCATTGCAAAGTCGACAGTGGTTGCGAACAACATAAACAAGGAGTGGTGATTGATAGACATCAAATATCCTACACTTGAGGTTCAGTACCTCCTTCCAGCAGACAAACAATGCACAAGTAAGCCACCAGCCAAGAAACCAAGCCATTTTACCTTATGTACAAGAACAACTATCACCATCCATATCACTTGAATTCGTCATACGCGATAACATAGCAAGAATACGACAAGAAACTCTGTATTCTTTGGTAACTTAAAGCAATATATTTGAGTTAACTTAAAGCAATCTAGGTGAGGTAACAGCATATCACAATAGACATATCTATCACGCATATGACTTTGATTAACAAATACATATGCTTGGTCATTGGCAAGTAACCAAGCAAGTTCAGGTTTTATTGTTCCCAAGAAATCAATGCGACAAGGAACACAAGTATGTTACCAATAATCCCAGAATAGGGCCCTTTCGTAAAACTAAAACATACTAGAAATTAGTTGACATTTTCGAGCACCAGCAT